ATTTATTATATTATATTATTTATGAATGATGCAGTGCTAATTGACATATTATTGTACAGAATATGAAACAGTACAGAAACTATGAAGTATATATATTTTGCCTTATTCTGTGCAGAAAATTGAAATAATTGTTTGTAGTATATAAAACAATCATATAATTGCCATTAGGAAAAAATTATAGATTACAAATGATTGATTATTGTCCAGCAGTGTATTTTATTTCTTATAGCAAATTCAAAGTAAGAGATAAAAAAATCATTCCTTGTAAAAAAAAAAAAAATTGTAAATAATAATAATAATACATACATAGGTCTACATAAAATGATTGTATTTGACATTTCTGTCACTTCTGAAATGATGGCTACGCCCCTGGTGTGACAAAATGTTAGCCTATATAATACTTTTAAAGCTCTTTTTTAAAATCTTGGCTTACATACATTTCTACATATGCCATGTCATGCCATAGCATCATTAAACTAGCATCTAACAATGGACAAAAGAGTTTTGTTTTGTTTTGTTTTTCTCTCTGGTTCTGTAACCATAAAGGCTGCTGTGTAATTTACCCCCTGACTAAACATTTAAAGAATTTAGGGGAAGCATTTAAATAATCCTGTGAATGCACTTAAAGAATGAAGAATCGAATCGTTAATTGAATCGAATCAAATTTAATTGTGAATCGAATCGAATTGAATCGTTCTGAATTTGCAAAAATTATTCTTGAATCGAAATGAAAACTTATGAATCATGAATTGAATCGATTCGCTGTCTACCCAAAGAATCACAGCCCTAATATATATATATAAACATCTTGTGGCTCTGCATGTCTACTATATTCTAAAAATATCATATCATATATTATAATATAATATAATGTACATTTTTGTTTGCTGGTAGATTTTATGCATTTTATATATTTATATAATATATTTTATATATTTACTTTAAAATGTGAATGTAACACTGTCTCTCTCTGTCAAACACACACACACACACACACACACACACACACACACAAACACTCACACATACATACATACATACATACATACATATATATATATATATATATATATATATATACAGTATATACTACACACACACACACACACACACACACACAAACACTCACACATACATACATACATACATACATACATATATATATATATATATATATATATATATACAGTATATACTGCATACACACACTTTTTACATGCATTTGAAACAATTTTACATAATATCATATATTTTTTTTATAATACGTAACATAAATATAAAAGGGGTGAATTGCAAAAACCATAGAGCAGAACACTGATCCCTTAAGAAAACAGGCAATTTTTACACAAACTTCAAGAATTGGTTGATTTGAGCTAACATTGTTATAGCCAAGTCCGTTTGGTGCCACTAATAATGCAGAATTTCCACACGTCAAGTTTAAAGAATTAAGGTAACAAAAAAAAATTATAATAATATCAAAAAGGGTGAACAACAGTTATATTAGACCAGTTTGTTGAGAGAAAGAGACAAGAGCTGATCAAGAGCCCTATCCCTCTCAACACAAGTCTCTATTCACACTCATAGCCCCTCAACTGGGCTGTTGTTCACCACTTCACTTGATGAATTCTATTCACTTCTGTTCAACGTATCTCTCTCCTCATCCTCTCTCTCCCTCTCATTCACCATTCATTGTCCAGGTCTCTGTGGATGTGTGTTGGCGCATATGTATGTAATCATATCTATATAGACTGCTAATGAGCTTATTGGAGTACAGACAACACACAGCGTACCCTGGCACACACGCGCCTCAGGGGCCGCCACAGGGAAGGGTGAAATGAACACAATCTATCCTATTCACGCTCACATTCTCCTCTTTGTTTGCAGTAAATGAACTCTAACCCTTGACACCATGACTGTAAAACACCCACATACACACAGCCCTGCTTCACAAACAACAATCAGACATGAAACTTTCACTAAACTGACAGAAAAGCAGCAAGGAGATGGGATAGCTGTGATATTTGAACGCGTCAGTCAAAAAACCTTGCCGGTTTTGCAGATTCACCAAATGGTCAAGGTTTGGCTGGTTAGCGTAGTCCTTGCTGCTAGTTGCCATATAGGCAAGGCAAGGCAAGTTTATTTACACTGAACAAAATTATTAACACAACAATTTTGTTTTTGCCCCCATTTTTCATGAGCTCAACTCAAAGATCTAAGACTTTTTCGGAAGATTTGATATTGGTCTATAGTTGCTCAATATATATACTAATTGCTACACATTTTGGCAGCTCTTTTAAAGGTACATGTTTAGGAACAACCCATAAAGCGAGAGCCCTCTTTCTGCCGGCAGGACTGTGACCTTGAGCAAAGCTGCACTGATATTATCACTGCACTCTGGGTATTGTATGATTCTCTGGATGAAAAACATCTGCCAAATGAAAGAGAATAAAGGAAGCTCAGCACTTTTTCTGGGAACCTACACAGTGCTGAAACAGGCACTTCTGTTTGTTTGGTTTCGAGATTTGGGAATATAGCACAGATACACACACATGGAGAGGAAGAAAAATCTGAAATTAAGTGTCACTCAGACGAGATAATGTGTCTTACTGTCACACACAAAGCATGTTTACTCAGGCATCTAAATGACTAATTGCTATAAACTATTCCAAATTCTAATCTTAGCTGTAAAAGAAAATTATCAGAAAAGAAAAAAAGTGTTTAAACAAACTTTTTAGTAAAATAAAGCTTTTTAGAATATTAAATATGCACTTAATATATACCTACATACTTAATTTAATACTATAATAATATAATATAAATATATATAATATTATTACCATTTAAAATAACTGTTTTTTTTTCTATTTGAATATATTTTAAAATGTAATTTATTCCTGTGATACAAAGCTGAATTTTCAGCATCATTACTCCAGTCTTCAGAGTCTCATGATCCTTCAGAAATCATTATTTCATTAGCCTGTTTGATGCTCAGGAAACATTTATTATTATTATCAATGTGAAACACAGTTGTTCAGTTTTTTTTCCCCCCAAGATTCCTTGTTGAATTTAAAGTTCAAAAAGAGCAGCATTTATCTGAAATGAAAATCTTTTGTCAGATTTTGTCTTTACTATCAGTTTTGATTAATTGAATACGTCCTTCCTGAATAAAAGTATTAATTTCTTTTCAAAAAATCTTACTGCCTACAAACTTCTGAACGGTAGTGTATATATATACACATTTTCTTTTAGTTCTTCTTCAATAATAATCATAAACCCTGACGAAAAATCGATGAATTTTCATCCCGTCCTTCATTATTGATGAGAATATTTAAAAGCAAACTCTGCCCCCTAGCGACTCATACTGCTTAGTGCAATTGCTCAAACGGATTTGGACATTCACATTCCACAAGCATTCACGTGTCGTAAAGTTTCAAAAGATCATTCTAAGGATTTTCAGAATCACTGAACTTTTTTTTCTAGCAGTCACATAGCAAACATATTCTTTATTATTTTTTAAAGTAACTTCATAAAACAAAATATTAAAACCAAACATAAAAATGAACATCTGTCATTGTCTTCACAGGGACTTAAGATGATGCATTTTTTTCCTATCATTCAGTCATAAAAGTGTTTCCCATTCTCTATTTGGTGAGAACTAACTCAATCTAAACCACTCACACAAACTGTTTCACAAATCTTAAAAATGATTATTGCATATAATCGCATGACCATGTGAAATGTCCTGATGGCCGTGTGTGATATCATAGGCTATGTATGTGGTGAAATTACATAATCTGATGCTCTATATAAGGTCAAACATTTAATTTCAGAGTTGAGAAACAACTGCCTGATGCTGTAGGCTACTGCATATTACGCTTTACTTGTCATGTCATTCCTTAAAACGATATTAAAGGCCATTTCATACAAATCTATTGTCGTAGATATAACAGAAATGCTAAGCAAAAATGATATTTTAACAGTGAGCAAGAAAGTTTAAAGTGAAGAATAGTCTATAAATGCTGAACTTGCGCCACCTAGCTCTCTAAAAACAAAGGCTTGCGAGTAAAGTTAGTATGGGTATATGGAAGCACTGGTTACGGATTATTAGTGGTGCTTGCTAAAACAAGAATTACTAATATTATTCCTCATACTTAGGGTTAGGGATCTGAACAAACTCTTAAACCTAGATATTACACTTAAAAACTATCAGACTATCATAGGAACTTGGGGTTGAGCTCTTTTGAGTAAGCAACGGCATAGAAATGCACTAAGACCATAGCAACCACATAGCAACATCCTAGCAACCATCGACAAACCCTGTGATCACTGTGATGAGTTTTGCACTGGCAAGCACTACTTACTTTTCACCCCAAAATGAAAATTTGCTGAAAATCTACTCATCCTCAGACCATCAAGATGTAGATGAGATTGTTTCTTCATCAGAACAGATTTGGAGAAATGTATCGCTTAACTGAGCAATTTAGCTCAACAACGGATCCTCTGCAGTGAATGGGTGCCGTCAGAATGAGAGTCCAAACAGCTGATAAAAACATCACAATAATTCACAAGTAATCCACAGCACTCCAGTCCATCAAGTTATATCTTGTGAAGCGAAAAACTGTTTGTAAGAAACAAATTCATCATTAAGATGCTTTTAACTTCAAATGTTGCTTTCGAGGTAAATATGAGTACTCTATCCATAATATTGCTTGAAAAAAAGGCCTTGTTTCTTTCAAACATGCAGCTTTTTCGGTTCACATGATGTTAAATGATGGACAGGAGATGTGTGGATTATTGTGATGTTTTTATCAGCTGTTTGGTCTCTCATTCTGAAGGCACCCATTCACTGCAGAGAATCCATTAGTGAACAAGTGATTTAATGCTAAATTTCTCCAAATCTGTTCCGATATTCATCTACATCTGGGATGGCCTGAGGATGAGATCAGTTTTAAACTTTCATTTTTGAGTGAACTATCCCTTTAAGGCAATCTACAAAACGCATATTATTTTATAGTATAAAGAATGTAACGGCAACAATCTATACAACTGGACCCATTTGTAACAACATTTAGACTTGATTTCTTTGGCCAACCTATCCACAGCACTAAAAACGCTCCTAGATAAGCTATTTGTGCAAATATCCAGCAGAGAGCAGTAACGTAACTCCCCTTTCAGTCGCCAGCACTTCCCGTAACTCCTGCTCACCTAACGTCCCTTTCTCTTGTAAGTCCTGCCTCTTACTGTCTCCTTCTCCCCATCTTCTCCTCGCTTAACCCTTTCTGAAAAACCCATTCAACTTTCACTATTCTCTCTCTCTCTCCTGCCTTGCCCTCGTCGCTCCTGTGTCCTGATTGGTTCCAGATCTGCTCCACAAAAAGGAAGGCAAGAAAATGGGGAAAAGTTAAGAGCTGAAAAGAAAGACAAAGTAGAGATAAAAGAACAAAGTTTAAGATTCATTCCCTGTACTGTTTGGATTCAGCTTTTACATGAGCTCATTGTAGCGGCTGAGGTCAAGCAAACCGTTACAGTGAGGTCAGACTTCCTGTTGGGCAGCTCTGTGTCCAGCATGTGATTAGAGAGAGAGATACTACACTGCTTGTGACAGGCTCATTCTCATGCACTTTCTTTCATCTGTCTATTTCTGTCCGCAGTCTTTTTGTTTTTTTTTGGTTCAGCACCACTGAACTTCAAACATCCCATCGTTTCATCTGATGTGTAATTATTATGATTATAATTTTCAGATTGATCCATGGGGGACCTGAATTCTGACTCAGAGAGCATCAAATTCAGCTGCACAAATGTAAAAAAACAGCAACAAAAAAGTCACAACAAATAACTTTAAAAAGTCTGAAAAAAAAAATACTGCTGTGGTGTTACCTTGTAGTTCGTGTGATTGTGTGCTCTTATAGTCTGGAAGTTTAATGGAAGTTCAAGTCAATGTGATTTTATCTGGGGGGGCGGGGGGGACTTTGTTCCCTTTTGGCACTAAAGAATAACTATGACATAAAGGACATGAAAAAATATGCATATAAACTGGATTTCCATAACCGGATAAAGACAAACAAAAAAATAATCTTCCACACTAGCCAATCTAAACAGCTCCTCTGAGATGGTGGAATTTGATTGGTTGACAGGCTTAGATGGATTTGACAGAGTTTTGTCTCTGTTGATTTTGGTTGATCGTCTGCTGCGCTCTACGCAGCTCTCTCAATGTCTCTGGAAAAAATAAACACAAAAACAAAACCGCAGCTCTTTTTTTTTTTTCTTAAACGTAAATTCTCTCAGTCAGTTGCTGCCATAGCAGATTTGTTTTCCTAGGTGTTTTGAACGTATCCAGCATTATTCGCCCTGCTCGTTTAACTCCATGTCTGAAACCAGAATGTTTTTTTCAGCTTCTTCGGAGGGGGCGGGGTTAGTGCGGCTGTACCGAGCGCTCTCATAGGCGCCCATGGAGCCGAAGCTCCGCCTACGATACAGATAAATCCCTCCCACCACCAGAGCAATCAGAACGAGGGCTGCAACCAGGACCTGAATCAATACATGGAGATGGTCGACCTCGGCTGGAAGAAAGAGAAAAGACATTTTCAAACAAAACATTAAAAACAACTTCATTTGGTGTTCATTTAATACGTTTTTCAACTTAATCAACATATTTTAGGTAAAAATGAGGTAAAAAACTTACAATGAACTACAGGCTCTGCTGTGGCTCCTACTGAAAAAGAAAAGAAAGAGGAAAATTGGGCTCAAAATGTGAATTATTATACTGTATATTATAATTATATTAGGATTTCTGTCATACATTCTCAGCTGTTTTTTTCCCCTGAGGTCAACGTAGTCAAGGTTTTTTTGGACATTTCTCGTCATGACCATGGCCATTTTTCACCTGCTTATTGACCACGTGCAATACTGTGCTTTTTATTGCTGTGCCTTTGAGACTTCTATGCAAAACAGTAATTTTAATATTATTTATTACTTACTTTATTTACTCATTCCTTTTGAATCAGCCTTTTTTTATTTAATTTATTTAGATTCTTGTAATTTTGTTTGTTTTGTAATTTTAATACATATATTAAATTGCAGTATATAAAATACTGCTCCGGGTGTGTGTTCACGGTTTGTGTGTGTTCACTGCTGTGTGTGTGCACTTTGGATGGGTAAATGCAGAGCACTAATTCCGAGTATGGGTCACCATACTTGGCCACATGTCACGTCACTTTCACTTTCACTTTCACTTTCACTCAAATATACTTAAACATGAGCTATGGGTTAGTTTGTATTGCTTCATCCTTCAATAACAACCTCTTCGCAAAGTCTGGATGAGATTGTGAAACAGGACTGTTTTAATTCATTTGTGTAGCTTTTACCCCAGTTGAATATGGAAATATATCATATGTTCCTGTATGTATGTGACGCTCCATACCTCGTGGTCGTTTACAGATGACTCCATGTGTGCGGTTTTTGCAGGACCCCGGCCTCCAGAGGCCCGTGTTGCTCTGAACCCAGAAGCAGCTGTTGGCGGACAGCATGCTCAGATTAGCGTCCTGCTGCTCCCAGTTACTGTAGTCCACTACTTGACTGTCTGACCACTCCAGACTGCCTTCTGTGGAATCGAACACATACACAAAGGTCTAGATAAAGGAGATCCAAACTGCAGGTCAATAAAGGAAACAAGTGTTTTTCATTAAACTTCTTGCCTTTGGAGTTAAAGATCATTCCAAGCCAAGCGCCGTGGGCCTGTTGTTGAAAACTCTGCATGTGCTCCCATACAAAACTGTTCTCGTTTTCATCTAATATTGACAACAGCTTAGCTCCCACTGAGAAAGGAAAAACAATATTACTTAAGTTATTGTGTGTAATATACATTATTACATATTACAATACATTATTGTGTGTTCCCGTGCTGATTTTGTTGTTTTTTTCCCCCCCATGTGTAAACATTACCTTTGTTACACATGCGTATGGCCTCGTGTTTAAATTGTAGCTCGTGGAGGATGAATGAGTAGCAGTGATTTCTGAAAGGAACCCAGGACCAATTACCTACAGGATGTGGGCAAAAACCTGGATACATCCACCTGTGTTCTATCGTTCTCTCTGACACAAAAACACAACAAGCAAAGGCTATTAGAACACACCTGCAAAATTTGTGCAAAAAAAACAACAAAAAAAAACACCACAGACGGATCCAAATACACACAGGTTACATCTAAAATTGAAAACTAGCATACTGCACTGTATGTTTTAGTTTACAATAACAGCTATAGTGTATAGTATACACCATTGCTGTTATTGTAAACTAAAACTATTAAAAATCATTTTTGGTAAGTTAAGTTGAAATATAAATATGAACATTAGATGAAAAATTTGAACTTAAAAAAAACATAATTAGAAATGTTATAATGATGTTTAATAATGCTATAATAGTATATAAATAATTCTAAAATAAATCTGGTATACACTAAATACTGCCTGTTATTTAAAACTAGTGCTGGGCAACGATTAATCGCATACAAAATAAAAGTTTTTGTTTACATATATCATATGTGTGTGTGTAATGTGTATATTTGTTATGTATATATAAATACACACACATGCATGTATATATTTAAGAAAAATATGTTGTTTATATATTAAATATATTTATATATAATTTAAATTATATGAATATAAATATATGCATGTAAATACAAATATTTTCAAAATATACACTATATGTGTGTGTCGTTATATATACCTAATAAATATACACAGTACACACACATAAAGAAAAACTTTTATTTTGGATGCGATTAATTGCGATTAATCGTTGCCCAGCACTATTTAAAATAGTATAGAAAATCTGTGTCCCAATCAAATAATGAGTCAACCTTGGATGCATACTGAACTTCATTTGGAAATTCAATGCAAATAAATAGTACTAGTACTATGAAAGTATTCAGAAGCATACTTTAACACTTTCTTACCCGTGTTAATTTCACAGATGGCAGCATTTAATTTTGTATTACAAGCAGCCACAGTCCACTGGCCTTCAATGGTCATGTGACCACATCCATACATTTGATTAGGCTCTCCATCCCGCCAGTCACTGAATTTGAGCTCCTCTTCACCCAACCACGTGTAGCTCCGAGCCTGGAAATACAAGAAGCTTTTGCTGAAGCTCTGAGATGTCAGAGAAAGAGACACACAAGTCGCACACGATGTCTCACCCCGTCGTTGTGTAGCCCGATCCAGGCGGATTTGTGGAGCGTGCTGAGGAGGAGGGTGAGGTAGGCATGCTGCCGAGGAACCCGCACCGCTGCCAGCATTCCGTTAATGGATTCACACACCTGCACAGCTGTGTACCAGTCCAGAGGCTTCTGCAAGATCCGGTACTGCACGCCATCAAATTCTAATGGGCCATCTAATAATGGGGGAAGAGGGTCCACGCCAGGGGGCAAGGCAGGGTCTGGAAACACATGCACACAGGATATTTTGGTGCTTCAGGGTATATAGTACAATGTATATTTGTGTGAGCATGTGAATTTAAGATATTCCTGTACCTTTATCCTTCATACAGATGAAGCCGTGTTTCTCTGCATCACACCTGCGAGACGCCCACATGCCCATCATCCGGGGAGGACTACCATGGAGAAGCACTATGCAGTTACCCTAATGGGACACACATATACTCAGATTGATGGGTGGATGGCTGGATTTATAAATGATAGATAATGTAAACGGACAGAGAGAGAGACAGACCGACAGACCGACCGACCGACCGACCGACCGACAGACAGGCAGACAGACAGACAGACAGACAGACAGACAGACAGACAGACAGACAGACAGACAGACAGATAGATAGATAGATACCGGGCTTTTCATTTGTCTGTTGTCCACTGGTTCTCCAGGGGCCCAGTTAGTATAGCTAAGGAACCCAGGTTCAAACCACCTGAACTGAGCCTGTGATTCTGAAGTAAGCCCCACCCACACATGGAAACTGCTGTTGGGCAGCAGAGTCACAAGGAACGCTGAAGAGAGAGAAAGAAATAGATCAAATGCAGAGCTTAGTCTGTTTCCATTCACACAAATTAATGCTACACAAAGCAAATTGAGGGCTGTAAGTGCCAGAGACATTGGGGCATGTCAGTCCCAATATTCATAAAAGTTGTCTATGATTCTTATACTTTTACATTTTTTGTAATTTTTTGTGCGTGAACTATCAATTTAATGTAACCTAGCTTCTCTTTTGTGGTGTGAGTGTGTGTCTGTGTGTATGGGTTTGATTTACCCTGAACTCGGTGGTTTGGCACTGTCACTAGCGTGGCTCTATGTGTCAGACACGTCTTGGAGGCAGATTCCCAAGTGCTACGACTCGACAGCTCTTCTCCAAACACCTTATAACACTGTTAGAACGTGGGGGAAAAACAGAATGCAGAGATTACTGATATAAGAAAATGAATATTTCTGTAAGAAAGTCATTTTCCAAATAATAATTTTTGCTAGATCTTTATTTTCTTACATTCCAAATGAAAAAAAATGTAATCAAAATATCTTGCTTCATCAAAAGAAGAAGAATTTTCGTTTTTGGCTGCCGTTACAAGCAATCTGAATTTTTACAGCCCCTCCAAAAAATCTGTCAAATATAGATAACTTTTCATGATCTAATCAATTCCTGACAGAAACAAGTTCCACCTAATATTTCTCAATGAATATCCCATTTCACATATAAATATGTCACATTACAAAAGTAAAATGAAATGTGAGACTGTTTCACAATTATTTTAGGTAGGTTTTGAAAGACAAACAATTGCAATTACTTTAAGTCAATGTAATCTTTCATTTCTTAGAAAAAGTATAAAGTTTATACACAGTACATAAAAAAGAGATGATCCAAAATGGTTCAAATAATGACCAAAACTAAATTTGACTGAACTGAACTAACTACAAAAAATTGGGGAGAAGAAAAACCTTTTTTTTTCATTACAGTGCAGCCTTGCAAGTGTAATAATGTATAAAAGCAGACAGTCTGTGTACCTTGTGCAGAAAAGGCATCCAGCCCTGGGGGCAGCCGGCAGGTATGAGAGGAGGAGCAGGCGTGGGAGGGATGGTACCCGTCACATTCACCCTCTTACACACATATGGAAGATCGACGTGACACCTCTGGTCTGACCAGTCACCTGAGACAACATTAAGGTAATTCACTAAACTCACTGCTGTTGAGTCACATATTTCACAAAATAACTTCAAAACGTCTGAACCTTAAATCTGTGCACTCCTTTCTTATGTTTATATAAAATGTGCAGTCAAAACCGGTGCATGTCAAATTCAAGGTGAAGATGACATATTTTCTGATTCGATGTGTGTGTAAAAGAGACCAAACCTTTTGAGGCGGAGATTTGGACACATTTGGGCTCTTTGCTGATTGGTCGAGGCTGTCCTAGTCCCCAGGACACATGATTGAGCACAGAATGATCAGACCACCTTAATCTCCCATCGTTCTTCAAACTGTGCAAGCCAATCCACCACAGGTCATTTTCTTTGCGGGACATCTGGACACAGTAAACACACAATTCTTGGTTAGTATTGCAAACACATTTCATATAGCATTTAGCCTTAGACAAACCTCTTTATGCAAAATATTCATCCTAAAATGAAATTGACTGTTTACTTTTTAATTTCCATTACCTTCTATCTTCAGTAACACACAAAATAATACTTTTATGATAACTCTCAGAGGTAAAGGTACAAAATCTGTCGCTGGTGTTGTACCCTTTCAAAATGTACTAATATGTACCTTTAAGGTACTAATATGCATAATTTAGTGATAAAAAAGGTACAAGAGTGTGCCTTTAAAAAAGGTACCACCACAGCTTTTGTTCCGTACACCTTTTGTATCTTACCTTTTTGGGTGAACTGATCCTTTAACTGCTGTTAATTTAATATGTCATAAGCATACCTCTTAGAGGACAGTGTGTGGTTGTGTGCTTACCTTGCGTAAAGTGCTAACCAAAAACTGGTTCTCCTTAGGAGAGTGCATGGAGACCAGGGAGGCGTCGAACCAGGAGCAGATCCTCTGAGCCTGGTCCCACGTGGAGCGATGTTCAAACATTTTATACTGGGCCTCCTCAAAATCGACCCACTCTAAACCAGTGTCTACACACACAAATGTATAATAATGTCACATTACTTAGATTCAAAATCATACTCAGCTCACAAACAAACTTGTTAAGCTTTTTCTTTTGATAATATTACAGTCTTAAGAGTGCACTGCCACAGACCTTCATGGCTCTCAGGTTCCTCTTCCACCTTCCCTTTCGATATTTTGCAGATCCAGTCCAGCTCAGACTCGCAGTGTGATACCAGCCAGTTGGTGTCAGCCATGTTAGCTGCTCCACACTCAGCAGACCCATAATTCCCCCTGCCAAAGTTCTGATAGGACACCTGAAAGAGAAAAAAAATAGGCTTTGTATGGTAGAATCGCTAACAAAAAGCTACTATGTAGGTACAATATTAAAGAAATGGAAGCAGAAAACAATGGCATGTTACTCTGATATTTGCGGTTGGTTTTTTTTTTTATGGCAATGATTCTCTACCAGGGGGCCAGGGACCACTAGGGGGCATCAGCATACTTACAAAACGCCCTCAAGATTATTTAAAATAATTTAAAATTAGACAAAACAAGCATTAAAACCTTTAAAAACGTTATCATTAAAAAATGTCATCGTGATCTTTCTTATCTTGATTTACCCCTTCAAAACCCCCTGTTTTTATTTTTGAAGAACCAGGATTCTCATGGTCTTGGAAAACCTGGATATATATGAGAAATCCTGATTTTAATAGTTCTAGACCTGGAAAATTCATAAACATAAACTCAATAGGCATTTTTAGAATGAATATACATTTTACCAGTTATGCAAAGCTCTAAAATATTTGATTTTTAACATACTGAATATTTTTAATAAATATATTACATTCTTTAAGAATATTTAGCTCCTACACGTTTTGGAATGCTGAAATGTAATTATTTTAATTACAATTATTATAGTTGCTTTTTTTTATTTAGATACTGTAACTATAACTATATTAACTATAGTAGGACTTCCCATAGATTAAAATATGTTTTGGGTCTTCAAAAAGATTATAATATGGGGGCCTTGGAGTCAAAGCGATTGACAACATCTGCTCATAGATGTCTAGTACAGTGTTTTCCAACTTTTTTTGTCTTATATATGCCCACAGCCCCATGGATAACATTCAGAAATGTGTTCCTCTAAAATCATACTGGATATAATTAATCATCATGAACGATTATTAAAATATCCATCAGTGTTATTAGAACAGTAAGTATATACACATACTGTACACACTGGTCTAGTACAATGAAATACAATAAAAATTAACAGTATTTTAAGAAACTCACTGCTGATCCGTCACTCCATGTCCAGCTGTCACTATTTCTGCAGGAAATTCCGATCCACAGCCAGTGCTGCTCATGATCCTCGGCCTCCCTGCCCACACAGCCAATCAGAAGGCAGAGTGGTTAGACACTACTATACTATACTATACTATAACAGGCCCCCATGATGCATTCGAATCATAAAGTCAAACTTATCATAAACCGAACAAACATAACCTCTACCCTATTCTGACTAGGGGTATTTGAGTGTAAAAACTGCTAAATAAAAGGAAATTGTATTCATTCTCACAAAAATCACACCTTCAAACATCACAAACACACACAGTGTTGCTTTAGGGCTGGATTTTAGACGCTTACCCGAAGGCCTCATGGAGGATCTGGAAGACATAGGTCTCTTCCTCTGGCGTGCTGAAGCTGGCGAGCTGAGCTCCATGTTTCTGGCAGAACTTGTGAGCTTGAATCCAAGTCAGTCTCTTCTCCAGTGCACCTGCATGAAAGACCTACAAAAGCACAGCAATGAGCGGACCACACACACCCCAATACAAACAAACACACAGACACCACACAAGGACTGGCCAAAATTCAAAATGTATGAATTGGTTCACTTCTTGAATTGAATGGACACACTCACAGGATGCTGAACTGGATTTGAAATGAAATGGCAGGAAGAAGAATTTACTGAATTGTAAATTAAAAAAACTTCTGTGATTATTAATTTTATGATGAATTTGCAATCATTCATTATGACTTTTTATTCCCTGATATGTAAAATCGATTAAACGGATTTCATTAGTCAAAAAAAATTAATACAGCCATCGAAGAAAAAAAAAAAGATTTAAATGCATCATTTGCCTTCTTGAACATCAGTGAATGTTTGCAGCTTTTGTAATAGTTGTGTACGAATCTCTCAGTTGTCCTCTTTGTGAAAAGATGGATCTCAAAATTATACAGCCACAGCTGGAAAGGAGTCAAATATGCAGAAGATGCTGGAAAACCAAAGAATGTGCAGGACCTGGAGGATTTTTCTCATGAACAGCTATCATAAAACATGAAAACAGTCATGGATCATCCAGGTAACAACAGAGTATTAAGAATCAAAGGTATGTAAACTTTTGAACGGGCTCATTTTTTTAAATAAATTCAGCAATTATTTTGTTTTTTGGACTTTATGTAAACATCTGGTGCGTAAAGTAGCTTATTCATGACAGTACTAAATAAATAATAAAATGCATTTTTTATGATCCTTCTTATTTTGTTAAAATTATTAACATTTTCATAGATTCTGCAAGGGGTATGCAAACTTTTGAGCAGATCTGTTAAACTAGAGCCATCTGGGAAAATTTATGTTTTCTTTTACCAGTTTTAGAAAATGAATGTTAAGAATTATTAAATATAATATATGAATCTATAGGTGAAATTTCCACCGTTTAATTATAATGTTTAAATTGTTAATACAGAAAGTCATGTTGTTTTTATAATATCTTAATATCTTCATGCCTCATAGCAGATTAGAGCTGGGCGATAATATAGTTTACATTTTGCAATGATACAAGCAATCAAGCAGTTAAGATTTGCTATATAGTATAGTGTTTATCACTATGCGAGTATACTGTGAATAAAGTGGATAAAGTTGGATATAATATAAATAATATATATACCTAACTTAATTTTAAAGAGCTGGGTGTTACTGTATGTATGCATATAAATCTGGATATAATATATATTCAACTTTACATATAGAGCTGGGTAATAATATGATTTACATTTTGTAACGACATTTATTACATTTAAAGTTACAGTTCTGCAAATTCAACTCAAATTTTAATTTAGAAAGCATTTCAATTTTGAATGGCGCACAACCTTGTAGCAGTAGTGGAACTTATTGGTGCTTTTCCATCCCGATGGGCATGATCCTGTTAGGGAGGGCGTGGGCTGAGGAACAGGGGGGCTGGGGATGAGAGAGTCCTGATTCTGTTTGCAAATGTATTTGGAGCGGACACTGGCACAGTCCTTCACCTCCCACAGACCCATGGCCTGCCCCGCCACCATCACCACACAGCCTCCCTTTATCTGTGCTGCAACACCACAAGACAAAAGGCAGGTTCATCCTCAGCATTTTATGGCTTAGCACCAAATGATAAACAGAAACAAATTATTCAGGTGCACACATGGTCATGCCATACACACGCTCGTGTGTGTTTCTGTACCTGGCTGGTCTCTGTTCCAGTTGGTGTATGTGAGCTCCTCTCCCGTTATCCAGCGGAACGTGCCGGTGCTGTTCTCATTATACAAGCCGAGCCAGAACTGATCAGCAGATCGTCCAAACACCAGGCTGCTCACAAAGGCCTGCTCAAACCTGGAAATATGCACCTCATAAGTCACTTCAGAATTCATCGATTTCGGGAAAGAGCATTACAAGCTGAATACAAATCCAGTCCATGTTGCTAGGCTTGTGTCCAGTACCTGTTATTAATAATGGCGAGTGTGGCATTGTTGCTAGCGCACATTCCTTTTGCATCATTAAAGGTTAGAGATTCTTCTCCAACCTTGAAGCAGGAAGGACTGTGCCATCTCCAACCCTGAGGAGATTCGCCAGAGGGAGAGAGAAAGTGTGCTGTGTTATAATGCATTCTATTATTCTTGCTTGTAAAATAATGAATTGGTAAATGTTTCTGAACAGTTCAGCATATTTTTTAAACTAGTTATTTTTTGCTAAGTGTTAAATGTACAGTGACAACTGTAAAGCATCTGGAAATTCATTTGAAATGTTATTTATTTATTTACTTAATTACATTTTCTTATTAAATGCATGAACACCAGAATAAACCAATCTGGACTAGCTAGGAATTTTTACTGGTCTAAAAACTGGTTCTGTCAGTAGGTGAATTTAGCTTATATGTATAAACTATATGAATTAGACCAATGGCAAAACAATTAAACCCACAGGCACAAAACATGCACACACATGCATGCATTCACACACAGACACCCACATGTTAAGGAATGTATCTAAATTCCACGTCAGCACTAGGCAAGAGGCAGTAACTTGACCTGTTTGCCGGCTGTCTGCTCTACTGTTTAAGACATTACAGAGAGTCAGATGTGTTCTCTCATTGTCTGACAATGACAAACTCACTATGACTCCAAATTTAGCAGCCTGTTCCAAAAATGAAGATTAAATTGTTAAAACTAGATTTTAATTTGCAGAAAGGTCTACAATGCAGCAAAAGAATAGTGTTAATGCCTTACAAAATTATTGTAATTTGTAAATCCAAATACCAGAAAAAGAGGGGGGAAATATGCAATGTACATACAGTATCGTTCAAAGGTTTTTAACATGATTCTGACAGTTCTACAGGGATAAAGTCTGCTGAAAAAAATCCACTCTGCATTAACACTTAACACTGACTCAAACACACATATGCGTGAATCCCACAAAACCTCTTAAGAACATGTCTGGCTATTTCATAAAATGATACTTTTGTCATTATTATTTATTTTTTGCAATATTTTCTTGACAGTTAAGCTCATTCTATCTACATCACCATTTGAAAGTGAAATTTTTTTCATGCTCTTGAAAGAAGATTTTATTCTCACTAAGTCTGTATTTATTAGATCAAAACTACAGTAAAAACAGTAATATTTTGAAATATTATTACAATTTAAAATAACTGTTTTCTATTTGAATATATTTTAAAATGTAGATTTTTTTTCAGTATTGTGCTAATTAATGGCTTTGTTGAAACTGTGATTTTGTTCGGAATTCTTTGATGAATAGAAAGAACAGCATTTATTTGAAATTCATTTTTCATAACTTTACACTGTATTTATTTATATATACTGTGTCTATTGATGAAATGAATGCATACTTGCTGAATAGAAGTATGAACTTAAAAGTATTAAAAATCTTACTGACCCCAAACTTTGAATGGTGGTGTAAATAAATCAGTTTCACAAAAAAATAAAAAATAAATAAAAAAATACAATCACAATTCAGTATGCAAATATTATGTTAATGAGTTTTATGACACTTAGTTATTTTAAGTACTGAACATTTTATCAGTGTAAGTCAAAAACTGCTGAAACAAACTACAAAATGAAGTTCAAATGGGGCTAAATTAACTGACAGAAAATTGTGAAGAAGAAAAATGAAAAGAAGTAATATAAAGTATTTGAAAGAACTTGTATGAAGTTGATGAGGCATGTATTACTTTTACTATTTATTACAACCCCCATTTATTTTAAATGTCTTATGAATGTACATTTATTTACACCCCAACCCTAAATATTCCGTTTGGACACATAACTTATCAAATTGTGTGGCTTATGGAAGAAACATGTGCTATTACTTCTTTAAGTTGTAGGACTTCATTTATTTATTTATTTTTTGCCTGGTGGTCGATAATACACAGGGGAAAAAAACAGCATAGACCTACATTAATCTTATCTCTGAAGCAAAACACCACATAGCAACCACCCAGAACAACCAAGCAACAAGCTAAAACATTAGAACTCATAAAATCAGAAATCAGAACACCTTTACAACCAAACAGCAACATCCTGGAAACCCAAAGCACCCATTTGCATAGGCGAGACGAGTTTTCTTTAGGGAAAAAGTAACTTAGTCAAGCATACTGTTTTAAAGCTTTAGGTTATCCACTAGTAACCTCTGAACTCTGACCTAGGCGATGGCATCCAGGGTCACAGCTCTTATTTAACAGATGCCTATTACCAGGGTCACAGCAAGGTAACAACAACACTCATTTAAAACAAAGACGGTTTCATGTAGAGCTGCTGTAGATCTGGATGAATTGGGTGGAGGGATGACAGACGTAAGGCAATGAGAATGAAATGTAGCCAATGTATGCATATTTTGTTTCTGTGTGCTTGCTAGAGTAACTTGGTCCATGACCTCAAACTTTTTGTCCTCGGTTAGCAAACAGTTATGAGTTATGAAGACTAGCGTGTGTGTGAGTCAGACTCCTCTGTTTACTGTATGCTTGTGGCAGGTCTGGGTCTACTGACCACATCTGGAGTTTTAACAGCATGACACAGCGGCGACTGTGAATAGAGTCTTTATGCCGAGAGAAAGAGAGCAACAGAAAGTATGTTGGAGGAGAAATCCAGCTAAACAGAAGTAACAAACAGAAAACTGCAGGAGCTGCAGAGAACAAAACAAGAAAGGGTAATTAGAGGATTAAAGCTAATGAAAAAGGAAGAATGACAAAGATGAATGAGAAACATAAGGAGAAAGGCAACAGAGTGAAAACCAGAGTGATTTACCCGTTTGCAGCCGTGGTCCTCTATCCGATCGTCAGACTTCTGTGCTGGTTTCTTACAGATCGAGGGCAGCGAGTAATTACATGGACTATCGTTCCAGCGGCCCTCCTACAAACACACACACATACTGTATAATGAGGGGTTATCATTATGAAGCTGCCATAAATTTAGACTTTTAGGATCACTGACTTAATTACAAGTATAAAGGAAAGCAGATTCATATCCATTAACATCATTCTGACAATTGAAAAGGGATAAGGTTTGCTACAAAACACACTTGGCATTAACTCACCGTACCTTTAACTCAATCCACACAAAACCTCTCAAAAACATGTCTGGCTATTTCACCCTAAAATTATACTTTTGTCATGATTTGTTTTTTTAAATGTATTTTTTGCAATATTTTCTTGACAAGCTCGTTCTACACTATCGATTAAAAGTTTGGGGTTCGACTATGCTAAAGTCACTCATGCTTATTTTAAGTCTGTGTTTATTTAAAAAACAGTAATACTGTAAAATATTATTACAATTTAAAACAACTGTTTTCTATTTTCATCTATTTCTGAATGTAATTTTTTCCTGTGATGGCAAAGTTGAATTTTCAGCAGCCATAACTAAAGTCTTCAGTGTCACATGATCCTTCAGAAATCATTCTAATAAGCTGATTTGATACTCAAGAAACATTTCTTATTACTATTAATGTTGAAAAGAGTTGTGCTGCTTAAAATTTTTGCTGAAAGCATGATAGATTAATTTCAGGATTCTTTGATGAATAGAAAGTCTAAAAGAACAGAATTTATTTCAAATAGAAATCTTTGGTAAAATTATAAATGTTTTACTATCATTTTCAATCAATGTAATGTGAATAAATATATTCATTTATTTTAAAATTCATTCTGCATTTCTCCTCTTCTATAGCTTGTTTCCTAAAGTAGCCGTCAAATAAACCTGTATTTTTTGGCTCCTTAACAAATTGCTTTTGCTCCTCTTGTGTTCTTTGCTTTGAATAAAAGTGTCTGCTAAATGCATAAATGTAAATGAATTATATCTCAAGTGAATTATATCACAAACCAAATGTGTGCTATTAAAAAAGAAAAAAAAACTTACTGATCCCAAACTTTTGAACTATATATATTTATATTTATATATACTCACAGGCCCCCAGATGGTGACACAATCCTCATTTACATTTCGAAAATTGTTGGGCTCAAATGGATGCCAGTAAGTGAAGATGACTGGAGTGCGATCCGTCCATTCAAAGTTCATCTGCATAGCTGTATCATGTAGACCAATCCATAACTCCTCTATATCTAAAAGACAGGAAGATGAGTCTGAAACATTGCAGAGATTTTGCCAAATGATATAAAATATTAAGACTTGTTGCCAGAGAATATATCTTGAATTAAGTTTACTTTTACCCCATTGGCAAATTGTGTTATTTATCAAATTGAATGAGGTTTATGCTCAAGAAAAAGAAAAAAGCAGTTTCTGTTTTTACTGGAAAAACAAAAATACTGATAAAGCAAACGTGTTTCTGTACATTTATGAATAGGCATTTATTTGCATGTGTATACCTTTCTTCATATGCTTAGTGATGAATTCAAGCTCTGGGAGGGTGTGGACACTAACGAGGTTAGCCTCCATCTTTTGACACATTTTGTGGGCAGAGCTCCAGTCCAGGTTGTCTGAGTTCAACCTATAGCAGCCCGCCTGGAAGTTTTGCCAGCCTACATCACACTGGTACCGCCCATCATCTGCCCAGGAGTCTGTTTCACACACAGACACAGGTGAGATCCTCAAGACCGAACCAGACTTTCAGGTACATCAGCAGAATCTAAAAGCTAAAAACTTCTCGGCTTGCTGAAAAACATGCAATTTTGGGGCAAGATACTCAAATTGCATGGCTGGGCCAGACAAGGTTTACCTCTGAAATAAATCAAGTCATTTTCAATCATTTAAAGTATAAGTGTAAGCAGTGGTAACATTACTCTGTACATTTATATGTGAACCACAAGCCAAAAATGTGCACACACACACACCGCACACATACCTGTGGTGAAGGGGTCGAGTGTGGCATTGGGCCGTTTCTTGCAAATGTAAGGCAGAGCCACTGAACAGTCCCGGTTGTGCCAGCGACCCTGAGCATCGGTGCTGATCACTCCACAGTTTTCCTCCTCGTCATAGCTTGGCATTTCTACAACACACACATCCGTGACACAAATCAGATAAAAATACATCCTTCCTAATGCAAATGAGCTCTAAGAACACTGACAGCAGAAAAAATTTGAAAAAGTCTTAATGTAAAATAGTGTTTTATATGTAAGAAAAAAATATACAGTCAGCTACAGTATACTGATTCAATGTCCAAGTGGGTGTGGTTATAGGAGGGTGGGGCTGTAAGGGGTGTGGCCTCACCTGTTTCCCAGTTTAGATATTTGAGAGGGGCGGAGTCAGCCCACTGCCAGCCTCCATTGAGATCTAAATCATTCAGGCCCATCCACAGGGTGGCGCTGTACCCAGTTAGCAAACCTACAGTACACACAGACTTTATAAACACATTCCACTGAGTTTTAAACAAATATGAGAGCAGCAATTTCTGCCTTGTTTGTTCTGCATTTACCAGAACCCTTTAATTTTAATCCCTTTGCAAAACAAATCATTTTTAATGTAATGAATATAACCATGTTTATATCCCTCCATCTCTCACCATTGATAAAGATTTGTTCCTCTACTTTAGTGATGCTGAGCAGGTCCGCTCCCTGCTGTTGGCAGCTGGTCCGTGCTTCACTCCAGGACAGCGTGGCCTGAAAGTTAAACTGGTAACAGTTATCCATCAAAGGGTTTATGTCCCAAAACGTCTCACAGTCAGTACCTTTGGAAAGAGAGAGAGATGCATTTTAGTAAGCAGGAAGATGTGCTCTATGATGTACAGTAGTCTCACATTCCAGCTTCCAGACAGTGAAAGAACGTTCTGAATTTAACAGGTCAGCTCTATGAGTGACGTGAGCAGCATCAGCTGGATTCACTCACTCTTCACTGGGCAGAAGCCCCAGCGTTGGTCCTTTCCGTAATCATGAGTAGTGGCACACCAGTTAAAGCCATCCTCCCTGCCCACGCTGGTGCAGCTGTGGAACCACTGGCCATCGTACAGGAAGGGGAAGTAGCATGGGCTGCCGTGAGAGTTTCCTTGGATGGTGTAGATTTCTATGGAGAAGAAGAGACAGAGAAACATATAAGATACCTAACTTCTAGAAGGAATTCATGATTACCAGGGAAGACAGATAATGATAAATACATAGTTTTAACATGGATACAAACATCTGCCAAATTAATAAATGTAAATGTAGGAGAGGAGAGGGAGTATTTTATGAAGAACAAAACAGATGTACATTTTATTGCTGTCTACTGCTTTTATGTGTGTTTTAGTATCAGTAGTCCATTCCACCATAATAAAGCAGTTATCCCAGAGGTAACAATGCAAACCTGGCAGTTATGGGTGAAAACTGCTTTTCATTTGGTCAGACTGTGGCCGGACATAACTGTACATAATGCTTCTATACCGTATAATAGCTTTTTTTATAATAGTTTCTAAAACCACTTCAGTTGTGCATTGTCATGCTAACTTACCCAAGAAAAAACATGGATATAGTCATTAGACAGAAACAATGATTTTCATTTTATAGACAGAAGGATAGAAAAGACAGATGAACAGACAGATAGAACAATGGATAAATAGAATGAACAACAGTAGACAGACAGAAAAATAGATTTATTTAGTCATTTGGCAGACGCTTTTATCCAAAGCATAAAGATATAAAGACAACAATAAATAGAACAAACAAACAGCCAATAGATAGACAGGCACAAATATGTACGGACGGACAGACAGACAGACAGACAGACAGATAGATAGATAGATGCAGTGCAATATATGATAATTGATAGTCAGTTCATGTCTATGTGAAACTTCTGCCTCTCTTCCTGAACTCTGTTACCCCTCCTCTCTCCTTCCCTCTTTGCATTTTCACACTTTCTTCCTCTCAGTTGCCTCTCGGTTGGAATGCAGCTGTTACTATAGAAACCCCTGGGCATTCTGTCTGACTGTACAGATTAGCTCTCAGTCTACATAGAGGGAAAACGTGAGGGGGGGAGGTGTATACTAAGACAAAAAGAGAGATAACTATATAGGAAAAACAGAGAGCTGTCTGATGTCTGGTCTGCTGCAGCTGTAGTTCAGAGCTGTGGAAAAGTAGGACACATACACACATCCAAAAACTTCACTCTCAGCTGAACTTCAGAACTTATGCAGTTCCATTCTTGTTTGCACAAACATACACACACAAACAAAAGCATAAAAACAGCTCTGTGCTGGCACATATCAGTGTCAACTTTCTGTCAGGAGCTCTCCAGAAGCGACTCTCGCAGAGAACACGAAACACAGAGGTGAGAGGAAAGAGAGGGGAGGAATATGTGCTGTTGAGCATCTGCTTCTGAAAGAGTTTAACAGTTCCGGTTTCAATTCAATTGCCATTCCACCTACTGATTCTGGTTCCTTAACGAATCCGTTGACAATTTCTGATAGTTTTATTCTTTAAAATACTTTTTACATTTTTTTTTTCAACTGCTTACACACAAAATCTTTACTTGTCACACATTTTCTGAAACCTGACACTCAAACACCAGAACCACACACCAAATCTGCAAAACCACACACTAATTATCAGCCTTTGACTCAGTTTTCAATTTCATAAAACACTTTTTGCAAAACACAACACACAATTCCAACACAATATATAACACACAAAAATCTAATCAAAATGCCACACTAATTCATCAGTGCCTCACACTAAACCCTCACATGTGCAAACACTCATTGCTTTACTTAAAACTAACCAATCATGGCTTTAGAATAGGCCTATAAATACACATCTACACAACTACACATGGTTGATGTATTTCTTTTCTTTCATTTTGTGTAGAACTGTATTCACAACCACAAATGCTGACAGTAAAAAAAAAGTTTGGTTTCCATCTTGCTTTTGTGTTTGCCATGAATTTTTCAACATCTCTCTGCCAATTACCTTCAATCTTGTACAGAAATGTACATAGGAGCTCATGAAAGAAGAGCTTTAGGTTTTGAATAACTGTGTATATATATATACAAAAATATACAATTATGGCAAAGGTGTTTGCAACGTAAGACAAATGTTTGCTTTTGAGATGTGTTTGTGATAATTTGAATGCAGTGCTTCATTTTGCAAGAGATCCGAGGCATTTTGCATTTTTTGTGTGCAATTCTTGGATTTGAGTGTAAAGTTTTGAAAAAAGAGGCAAAGTTTTGAAAATGTGTGCAAACAGTTAGTGCAAGCAACTGTAAGCCCCCAATAACTATGTATACTACACAAACATGCTATCAAAATAATGTTCAGTAAAATATTTTAATATTAATACAATAATTGTAAATAAAATATCATTGTATTCCAATTAAATTATGTTATAAATGTGTATAACAATTAATATAATAATATTTTTAATTAAAATTTAATTTTATTGTAACTAAATTCTGTTCTGAATGTGTAACATTTAATATAACAATATTCATTACATTCAGTGATGAAGAAAATATTTTAATGTGTCTAAATACTGTTCTGAATTTGTATATAGATTAAATATAATAGTATTTTATTGTAAAGTATCATTCTGTGCTGAATGTGTATCTAAATGTGTATAACTATGCACAGTCATATAAACAACCAGTTAGTTTAAATACTAATTTAAAAGGATAGTTCACCCAAAAATGAAATTTCTGTCATTAATTACTCATCCTCATGTCATTTCAAACCCGTAAAAACCTTTGTTCATCTTCAGAACACAAATCCAGATATTTTTGATGAAACCTGCGAGCTTTCTGACCCTCCATAGACAGCAACACAACTGACACCTTCAAGGCTCAGAAAGGTAGTAAGGAAGTCGATAAAATAGTCCATGTGACATGTCCTTACAAACAACTTCCTTGCTACCTTTCTGGGCCTTGAAGGTGCCAGTTACTGTCTATGCAGGGTCAGAAAGCTCTCGGATTTCATCAAAAATATCTTACTTTGTGATCCGAAGATGAATGAAGGTCTTACAGGTTTGGAACGACATGAGGGTGAGTAATTAATGACAGAATTTTCATTTTGGGGTGAACTATCCCTTTAAGTCTTAAGTACACATAAACCGATAACTCATGAGGTGGAGAAGGATTCATTCAAAAGAATTGGCTCATAAGAGTCATTTGTTCATGAATCGGACTATAGTGGTCTTGTCATATGCTTGTTTTTGCATGCAACCAGCGAAGACAATGCTGTAGAAAGAGGTTGTCGAATTATTGTCTTTTTGTATTATTTTGTGACACCCGGTATCCCATCACATGTAATGCAATCTCACCACCGAGCCGAAACATCACTTGCATCTAGCATTCAGTAGCATCAAAGCACACCCGCTAAATAACAGTGCAGGAAACACTCTCAAGAGTATTTTTGTACATTGCTCCATCAACATTGGCAGATGAATGCAAACATTCAAGAAACGTTAACATAACCAAACGTCATGAAATTTAAAAAAATGTAATGGATCTTAGCCTACTATAAAACCATTCTAAAACTAGGGTTAGAATGGCCTCCACTCTACCTGCGTTTAAATCTTGTCTAAAAACTCATCTTTTTACTTTGGCATTTATTAATTGATTTCGTTATAGTCATGTTATGTGTATTTGACATTATGCTATTAATATTTTACTTATTGTATTTGTGCTATTGACAGTGTACAGCACTTTGGTTGGCTTTTAGCTGTTTTTAAATGTGCTTTAGAAATAAACTTGAACTTGAAAACCACAATGTCCATTAGTAATGTTAAATAAATGAAACCTAGTCCTTCTGAAAGAACTTCCGCAGCATTACAAAAAAATCCTCAGTCATTGAGAACTAACTAAACCACAAATGAACTACTTTGGAGCAATTAATGGCTGTGATTTCAGAACTAAATTAGTCACTATGAGACAGACTGCCTGATGGGACTCAGACTGAGAGACGACTGGGCCTCAGCACAGTATACAAACACTGGCCAGACTTTTTAATTGGCTTCTTTTTTGGTGAGTAGCCAATCAGGACAAATTTAGAGTTGCCCTTGGCAAAAAACATCCACACGCGGAAAACCCTAGTCTAAATATCACTGAGGTCCAAAAGACATGTGGCCTAGCTTAAACATCGGACTACCTTCCTTGCCCTTTTTTTTTAATCAATCTTTTCTTGATCCTTTTCTCCTTTCTTCTTTCCATAATCGTTAATTTCTCTATTTTCAATGACACTGCATCAATGAGTAAATGAATAAATAAATATGTGTGACAGCAACAAAAACAAGTGGTAGGACATTTGTTGATTGCTTGGTTTCTTATTGGATCTTATTGGTCCACATAGCTGTACTCTACCCTTCAAAAGTTTGTTGTTCTTTTGTTTTATTTTTTCTAAAAAATTAATGCTTTTATTCAGCAAAGACTCATTAAATCGATCACAAGAGACAGTAAAGACATAATGATGTTACAAAATATTTCAATTTTAAATAAATGCTGCTCTTTTGAACTTTCTAGCCATCATGGAATCCTAAAATAAATGCATCATGGTTTCCACAGAAAAATTAAGCAGCACAACTGTTTTCAACAAACACTGTTTTTACAGTACAGTATTATGACAAAATAATGCAGCGTTGGTGAGCATACAAGACTTTTTTTTAAAAACATTAAAACATCTTACCAACCCCAAACTTCTGAAAGGTAATGTATATTAAACATCAAATAAATGCTGACTGGATGCAATTCCCTTTAGTGTGGATGGGCAAATTACTGATATTGTGTAACTGTGAGAAAGAGAGAAAGGAACAACAACTTTGAATGTGCTGACCTCGGTATGACTTGGCGCAAAGGTCTTGATTGTCATAGACTCGCCACAGAGACTTTTGGGAGGGGGATCTTGCAGGCGGGGAGCCGGCGGCCGAGACATTGCCGGTGTTGAGGAGTAATTTAGGGGAGGGCAAGTAATTCTCAAGTATCTCCAAGAACTTGCTGCAGCTCCAGGTCCAGCGCACTCGCGGAGGCTCGTAGTCGCAGCGAAACACGCCCAGTGGTGACTTGTCGCCAAATGTGCTCACGTTGCCCGTGGTGATGCCCAGGCAGAGGGAGGAGCCAATGTTGAAGAGCCGCCCCCTGGTCACCCATTTCCACAGCTGGGCGTCACCCTTGCAGGAAGAAGCGAGGTAGAGCATGTGATCTCGTACCCCCAGGCAGCCCTGCGCTCCCTCGTGGAAAAACGCAAAAGTGTCCGATTCATCCGTATGTGCTGTTGCAGAAAGAGAGAGAGAGAGAGAAGTTATTTACCTGACACAGACATACTGTACAAGAGAAATCTGATAACCCTGAAATCGTAAATATGGAAACTCATTAAGGTTTGATTCCAGCCTAGACATTTACAAAGGTTTTTCATGATTTTACACACCATTAAACCAAATGACTGATCATACAGAGACAATTTCCATCAAACTCTCAATGTCATGTGACCAAAACTGTTTTTGACTCAGCTATTTTCATAGTATATTATTACAGCAGTAGAATAAGCAAACCCCTTTTGATTCTCTTTCACCCACTCAAGCAGTTCTTATCCAACACAAGCAAAGCACAAATCCTGTTCAAACAATCCCACAAAACGCTTGTATGTGCTTTGACTTGCCTCAGTTGTAAAACAGTGATTTAATTACAGGTGAAAATTAAATCTGCAGTTTCATGTTATCATATTCTGTATGTGTGGCTTTCATAATGGCTGCTCTCTATGGTATGATATGGCCTGCAATTGGAACTTTTCATCTGTTTTTTGTTTTTTGTTTTTTTATCTCTGCATGCTTTGGTTTTGGAACACATCATATGTCTGACTGCAAATAGATAGTAATTTACAAAAACAAAAGAGAAAAGCCCAACAGAAACTGCCATGAGAGAATGCAGACATTGGCAATATTCCTCTTTTGTGTGAGCACACACATTTATCCCGGTTTCATCATAACTGCACCCATCAGTGGCTTGTGGTGCAGGTCTTCTATGTCTTCTATATACATTATTAATTATAAAATTAATAATTTGTTTTAAGAATTCTCTTATGCTCATCAAGGCTGCATTTTATTATCAAAATACAGTAAAACAGTAATATTGTGAATTATTGTTACTATTTCTTTTATTGTTTCTATTTGAATATATTTTAAAATATAATTTATTCCTGTGACGCAAAGCTGAATTTTCAGCATAATTACTCCAGTCTTCAGTGTCACATGATCCTTCAGAAATCATTATGATATGATGATTTGCTGCTCTTTTCATTATCAATGTTGAAAACGTGGAAACAGCTGTGCTCCTTAATATGTTCTCATGATTCATTGATGATTATAAAGTTCAAAAGAACTTAATTCCTTTGTAACATTATAAATGTCTCCACTTGCACTTTTGATCAATTTAATGCATCCTTGCTGAATAAATATATTAATGTCACATCAAAATCGTAAGTTTTATTACTATAAGATATAGCAATAAATAACTACTCAAGAATAATAATTTATAGTACATTTGATTTTAACATGACTGAAAGTGATGATATCTGAATGGATGAGTTATATATGTTTACATATTTCATCCATTTTTATTGGTTTAACCTGTTCAGATGATTTTTAGACCGTTTGCAAACATAATAGGCTGCATTAACCTGTTGTCAAGTTAATTACTGGTGCCAAACTTTATTTACTAGTGTCCCTGAGTTTAATCTCATATTTCGCAATATTTGTTTTGTTTTTGTACTGTCGATTATTTTCTTAGGCACTTCCTTTCCTTGCCTTCTTAGAAAAAATACACTATAAAGCTGCAACCAGATACTCATAGCACAGTAAGAATAAAAACATATATTGGTATTTGACTAGGTATATGTGGTTTAGTGAGAGAAGGACAGGCAAAAGAGATGGCTAGGAGGAGAGTCAAGCAGAAGGCAGAAGAGCCAAACACCAGTCTGGTTTCTTTTTATACTTCCATTCTGCTTTTCTCTCTCTTTATCTGTCTCTCTCATACACCCTCTCATTCCTGCATGGGGGAATGCAAGGTTACAACCACAACGTCAGAGAGAAAGAAAATCAGAGCAAAAGAAAGAGACAGAAAAAAGAGCCTGAAGAAAGACCCGAGAGAAACACAGCTGTGTTTCCAAACAGAGCAGGGAAATGGGAAATGGGATCAATCCAAAAACAAACAGGACCTTCTCTACTTTGAAAACAAAACAGAGACAGAAAGTTGACTGAGACCCTGGGAGACTTTCTGAACATCAATGCTCAAACATATATTTCCATAAGTAAGCATGCTGTCAAAAATGTTAAGAAGTTCTGTAACAATGTCAAATAAAGTAAATCAGTGTTATGTAAAGGTAAATATGCAGTGGCTCCGAAAAAGAATTTAAACAGTTTTTACCAGGATCTGGCAACAGAACATGGAAAATCCAAGATCAAGTTTTTAACTAGTGAGATGTAAAATAACAAGAGTTGAAAATGTGAACAAATGTAACTAGGACAATTCTTTCCATGAGGTCCTGATTCCACTTATTAATGACGCGCAATCCGTGACAAACCGGGATTAAAACAAGTCTTTCCATCTTCCTGCAGAACAGCAGAAGAATTTGAGGGCATCATGTGATCTGAGTGAGTCATATAATTGGTGGAGGTAAGGCCCTGGGGAGACATATTTCAGGAGGAAGGATGGTACAGACATGCTTCTTCACACAAACATCAAAGAGTTTCTCTCCACTTCTGACAGATAAAGGGCAAAGCAAGCTCAGGCATTTCATGAGCATCATCTTAATACCTTCATTATAAACCAAGGCTTTACTTAAATGACTAATTGCGGGCGTTTCAATAAAAACAAAAAGATGAATGACAGTGTTTCAGTCTAATAATTTATGATCCACCTTCTGATGATGAGGTCAGTTTTTAATTTCATCAGGTCAGGAAGACATTTTCAGATTTTGTCTGAAACATATATATATATATATATATATATATATATTAGCATTAAATCAGCCACTCTGCACATAGGCTGCTAGAAAACCAATATAAGTCAAACAACACTAATCAGAACATTGCTAATTGATAACAACAATTGGTTATTGCCTGGGGTGGAATACCATTATCGTAGCAATTTCTCCTGTGTGTGTTAGCCTGCAGCTCTGAGTTGGTGTTTGTGTGGTAACTGTTTCAGATGGCAAGTATTGAATCAGGCCTGTTTTAACAGTGCCTAGGCCCACTTTAAACCTTAAGAAAACAATTAATCGGAGACATTCCACAGTCTCCGATGCAGAGACAAATTTCGCCCACACTAGTCATATCAATGTCATCATCAGCATTATGTAATCAGTGATCGCAAAAACAAGTTCGTTTAGCTGCGCAGCCTCATCCGTGCCATGGGATGTTCTCATCTCTACCATCCGGAAGAAGGTGGTTCAGGAGCATTCGTGCCAAAACCACAGGCTGAAAAATGTTCCTTCCTGTAAGCTGTCAGCCTACTCAATAACTGTCCGGCAAGCTTCTAATGGATGGTATTCTTTCTCTCAGTGCTCTAACATCACTTCAGACAAATCACCCATAGCCATTCATTTCTCTTTAATCACACAACCACTGCTGACCTGCAGACACTTTACATTACAATCTGTCTATTTTTTATTCATTTATCACAGCATGCTCTTTAATGTATTATTTACGGACATCCTATGGCAGTTGTCATGGGATTTGTTTCTGTTCTGTTTTATGTTATGCAGTAGTTCTGGAAGTAAGTCGTCATTTAGCAGATGCTTTTATTCAAAGCAAAGATTCTCTTGCAGCAACCTTGTTTTAAGTAACTTACCTTGCTCACGGGCATAATGATGATAGCTCTTCTTTTATGAATATGTAGCTGTAAGTGTCTTTATTATTATTATTATTATTAAACAAATTATAATAATAATAATGTTTTTTCAATTAATTAATTTGACCTATATTTATTTGAACATGCATATATATATACAGTGGTGTGAAAAAGTGCTGGCCCCCTTCCTGATTTCTTATTTTTTTGCATGTTTGTCACACTTTAATGTTTCAGATCATCAAACAAATTTAAATATTAGTCAAAGATAACACAAGTAAACACAACATGCAGTTTTTAAATGAAGGTTTTTTTTATTAAGGGAAAACAAAATCCAAAACTACATGGCCCTGTGTGAAGAAGTGTTTGCCCCCCTGTTAAAACTGTGGTTTATCACACCTGAGTTCAGTGGCCAACACTTTTTCACACCACTGTACACTTATACAATACAATGCCAAATAAGATGTAGCTACACAAAATTGTGAGAATGCAGAAGACATTTATTTTACATGCTTATTTAACCAAAATGAATGACTGATTTATCAGGACATGGTTAAATTATCAGTCAGATTGTCTATTTTATAGACAACACTTATTTTGATAAAACAGCTATTTAAAACTTTTAAAAACCACGGTTCTTTAATTGACATATGGTTCCATGAAGAACCTTCAACATCCACAGAACCTTTCCAGAGCACAAAAGCTTCTTTATGGTGGAAAAAAGTTCTTTAGATTCTTCAAAGGTTCTTCCAAAAGCTGTTCACTGAAAGGCTTTTTAAAGAACCAAAATGGTTCTTCTGTAGGATCACTGCAAAAAAACCCTTTTTGAACTTTTATTTTTAGGAGTGTACTTCTGTACGTTTTTCAAATCTACTATCGCCAACATATTACAAACTGGTCGATGGCTTTGGAATTTGGGGTGTAAATCCCCATGAAAAATACAAAGGATACCAGAAAATGGAAAAGGCAGAAGAAACAGGCGCTCAGTGGGGGGGACTCCACTCCATGAAAGGGTGTGTGAGCTTGGTCATGTGGTGGTATGTGGTTTTCCTGAACCCTGATTACCAAAGCTAAACATTTATTATCATGACAGATGCATTTTTGTTTCTCCCTTCCCCTTTTTGGAGGAGGGTAATGAGTAAGGGATATGAGAGAGAGAGAGAGAGAGAGAGAGAGAGAGAGAGAGAGAGAGAGAGAGAGAGAGATAGGGGCAGGAAGGTAACAAGCCAGCTGGGAGATGGAGGAAAAAAAGGAGTGAGGGAGCAAAAGGAAGGGTGCAGAGAGAGGTCAGGGTTTTGTATAGATGATCCTTTTATTCTGTAAACACAGAGATTGACCAACACACAGGAAATTCCGGCCAGTATTTGTTTCTCGGCTCCCGTTACTGAGCCCTTAACCTAGCCAGAGCTGTGACCTGAGATCCAACCCCAACTGAGACAGAAACAGATATAATATTGGGTCTGCTCCCAGTTTTTTACTGTGCTGGCATGTTTGTGACACACAAAATTTAAAAAAGCATCATCAATTAAAAAAAAAAAAAAAGCTAAAGCTAGAGAAAAAGCTAAAAAGATGCAAAAAAATAATGATATTACAACAACAATAATAAATTCCAAATATTAAAACAATTACTTAATATTTTTTATTTTAAAGTGTCAATGGGCCAAAAAGCACTTATATTAAATATATAATTAAAGCATTGAATGATCAGTAGAAAGGTGCTAAATTGTAATTGTATTGTATTTAATTTCTGTTACCAAAATGTGCATGCCGATTAAAATATAAAAACGGCAAAATTTATAGAAAAAAAAAAAGATAATGACAGACTGGGTAACCAGATTCTAAATTGAGCATTACATTTTAAATATTAGGCCTACATAATAATACAATATTTTGATGATGAAAATAGCCTATCAAATTTTTAGTCATTGAAATTATTTAATTAAAAAAGATCTACTACAAAATTGAAAACCGATTCAGTAGATCATGTTGTTGTGATTAAACAAAACGCTCAAGTCCTGAGGTGACACTGGCAACTACAGCATTTTGCGTCAGGTCTTTGGTGACGTATTTTTAGCTTGCTCAACAACACTGCTCTGTTCTTCTAAACTTTTTTTCTTTTTAATAAGGCTGTGACAGTCCCTGACACTGAGGTGCAAAAACCTATCCGGTCTCTGCTGGACTGTGAAGTTGAGCGAAGCACTAAAAACTATACAAGACCACCGAGACGTAGACAGCCCTCAGCTGCGGCTCGTTATTGTGTAACCGGATATATTTAGGGCACATCTGCTTACGGGGTGAGAATCAAGCGCTTGAGAACACAGGTTAACAGAACAGTGAGAAACCTAGAACATGCTTCTGCAAACAAGCATAACGACTGGCCCTTTATAACGAAAAATGTCCCTTCGACCACTAAAGTTGCACTATAAAACATAAAAGCTGTGCTGATGGTGCTGCGTCTGTGAACGAGTTTCCTGAACGAATCTTTGAACGAAGCAGTCTCCTTACGTTCATACACTGACTAGTTCACAAACTCTCCCTTTTAAAGCAAGTACTTCTTATCTGTTCTGAATATATACAGTATGAGCAAATATCATTAGAGTGCGAACTATAAATAAGCATATTGTTTGTTAAGAAAATGAACCAAGAAATGAACCAAGTGTCTTATTTCTATAGTTTGTTGGAAGAAAGTATGCAGCTGACACAGCTTGCAACACATGTTGCGCTTTTGTTTAAACACCATTTTTTTACCCGAGTTTCGTCTTTTATACTTTAACCAGGTAAGTTAACAAAGCTTCCAGTCATTAAAAACATCATGTTTATAATGAATCATTCAAATCAACCATTCAATGACTCAAAAATACCACGCAAAAGCTCGCCACCTATTGGCGTAACTACGTAACCTGCAGAAAGTATCAACAAAGTGAGTTCTCTTAGTGAATCGATTCAAATGATCCGAGCCACTGGAACGAATCAATAGCCCCAGCACAGCACCAGCGCTCGCACTCCCCTCCCCCGGTCTCTATTCCTCTTCTCACATCTGGTTCCACTCAAGAGTTTGGACTTTCGTGGCATTCCTCCACATCACAGTGCAGCCGGAGCCAACATAACACAACAGCACCCCAAATAAAACTAAGCCTCACATTATTAGTATTATTTTTAAATCGCATAACACGTCTATAAATCATGACAACAAAGCAGACAGAAAAAGGCATAACGAAATAAAAGTGATAATGAAGCGTAAATGTTTTCCTACCTGAGTGCACGGTGCTCCGCTCCAGGCTTAATAGTAGAAATAAATATACAGTGCATCTGCAAGCATTTATCCACGCGCGACTCCAACAGCCCTCCCGGTGCCCGCCACCGTGCTGATGCATGCCCGCGGAAAGGTGAAACGGAGAGAAAAAGAGGATTTCCCTCTTTCCCGCAGAAAGAGAAGCAGGAACGGTGAAGAACAGACGGGCTTCGAGAGTGTCAGTGTCGCTGTGTGCGTGGACTGTGATGAGCTCAGAGTGAATGAGAGGGGCAGACCGCTCACTTTCACTGCACACGTCCCAGGAAAGTGAAGCAGAAGAAGGCGGAGAAATGAGTTTGAATGACTACCCGATACCCGGGATAAGTGTCCAGGACTGAGAATTTACCAGAAGTTCGCAACTCTTTGCTCGGAGGGAAGAGAAGCACGACATTGCTCATTGTTTGTGTAGCCTATATTTCAGCACTAGCAAGCTATACTTGGGGAAAGAAACAGCTGTAGTCTCCTCTGACAAAATCAAGTAAATATTCTACCCTGCCTGTTTTCTGAAGTTGGCGCATGAAGTTAGACTAATAACACATAAAATGTTTTAAAGACCAATAGTTTTCATACACTTTCAAAACAATGCATATAAACATATGACACTCCACAAATACCTACAATCTATGCTAGGGCCTAAAACCCAAATGGTCAACAAATGGATAGAGGAAGGAAGTGCTTAACCTCAGGAGGTCAAACTAAATATTTATTTATTAAAAGGTTTTCAATTTATTTGGCCCCAAAAATTACAAAGTAACCTTCCCAACACTGCAGTTAGGTCCATATATATTTGGACAATGTTTTTTTTTCCAAAAGATTTGCTCCTCTGATGGATTAAAGTCATGTGACCACATTCATTCAGTCATTTGTCTTTGCTCCAAGTTCTCACAGTACCCTCTATATTTATTTAGGTATTAATATTTAGACTATAGGTACTAATATGTATCTTAATGGTAGTAATATAATGCCCCAGTGACAGCTTTACTTACTGCCAGTAGAAACACAATTATGTTGGACAAACTTTGTGAGACAGCCTGAGATATACTTTAATTGATGTTTTTTGATTTGATGTTTTTAACACTCCTTGCACTGCTTGGCAATCCAGGACAGGTTCTGTAATGTAATCACGCATGAGATCACTAGGCCAGAGTAAATAAGTGGGTGGAGTGGTCGGGTTGGAATAGTTAGACAGGCCTGGTTTGGTAAAGCAATCATCCACAGGTTCTAGCTGCTACATGTTTGTCCAAAACAATCTCCAAATGGTGAGTCACCGAGACTGGAAGTCTGCTTAAGATGTAAATGAGATTTCTTTTTTGTAACACAGTTGTGTAAAAAATAAATAAAAAAAGAATAACCTAATTACATATACTGTATAATGCATATTATTAGTGTCTTTGCAGATTGTGGGTGACTATTCAGTGACTGGTCAAATAGTCAGGTTCAAAATAATTGTAATCCCTGTAATTGATTTTGACCATGAAGTCAAACAGCTGTTGAACATTTTTAAACGGTCCAAAAGCATTTGGCTCTTCTTCAGACTGAATAGGACAATGATTCATCCAGCATCCAACCAAACTATCTGTTTCTGATTGAATAGAAAATGATAGGGTTTCAGAGATTTCACAACCCATTCCCAAGCACTGCATACTAACAAATCCCCACTTTCTCAAACATGGAAATTCTCAGACAGTAAGTCTAATGCCTTGCCTTTCCAGCATTACTCCAGCAGCTTTCACATTGAATTTGACTTCAACGCAGTCAATCTGCAAAGGTCATGCAGTGGGCGCAGTTGCACATCTTGGCGTATAACTGATAAATACTGCAAATCCAGCTTTGCTGAGGAGCTGGAAGGAAAACAGACACAGATACCCTGAGGTGAGATGCAACCTGGATAAGTCTTGTATATGGGTACATCCCGCCCACTGAACGAATGTGTGACAAATAACAGAAAAAACACTGCTCTACCCACATTTGAGAGCATTTCAAAACAGCAAGTGATTTATCAATAAGTCTGTTGTGACTTCATCAGGTCTAATAATCAACTTGAAAGATCTGTTTTGTTCACATGCAAGTACTGTGACATGAAAACACTGCAGTTTTGCATTGTTAGTTCTTTGATACAGACCAGATGCAAGTAAACAACGCCCAAAATGCTTTATGTATGTTTAATAATGGACACGTTTAATGGGACACTAATTTAATAAATTTACTAAAATACACAACTATAATGGCTTATTTTGATAAAATGATCATTCTAACTCAAAAACAGAAATGTACCAATGCCAAATACCTCCTATTAAGTGTAATGAAAACATCTGATCCAGTGCAATGTTATTTCAGTATAATTTACATAGTAATATTTTGAATAAAAAATTGTATAATTTAATTTTATGCTTTTGTCATTTAAATACTAATATATATATATATATATATATATATATATATATATATGTGTGTGTGTGTGTGTGTGTGTGTGTAAATGAATATTTATATAAATATAATAGTTCTATTTAGCCTTGTTATTTTTTAATAATGATTCTATTTAATAATAATATAATCTAATAATTCTAGTACTTCAGCTTACTTAAATTCATCATTTCTAAATGTTAGGTTTCTCAGCTGTATTTTATTTTACACTATTATTTATATACTACTATAGTATTTATTACTATTTTGAACTAGCTTTTTATATTTGAACGTTTTGTCCATTTTATTGGTTATTAGTAAATATTTCACTTTATTTTTATAATTCAGTAAAAATGGCCAATTCAAACATTTTTTGACAGTATCTGTAAACATCAAGCCATATGTAAGACAAATAAAGCAGACAACACAATGTATTAATAACCAATAGTATTTAATGATCGCTCCGAGTTCTGCCCTGTACCCCTGAACTAGCTCTGTCCCCTCGAGAGAGTTCTTTCCCACAAACAGTAAAACAGGATCAGGCAATCAGCCGTATCACCAGACCTTAACATATATGACTGTGTGTCATTTTTGAACGCATTTGTGTCTGTGTGTTTCTATGTGAGGCACAAGACTTTGAATTAATCAATGAAAAATAAAATCTAACTTCATCTCATTTTTCAACGTTAGATTCTGTCCAAAGACACGATGAGAAACAAGAACATACTTGGGGGACGGGTGGGGGGGGGGATTAGTTAGTGTCGCTAAATCTAAAAGAATATGCTTCCTAAAAACATATTTTCATAACAGCATAAAGCAAAAAGAACAAAAACAGAAAGAAAAAATAAAATAAAAACACTCAAGTCAAACAGCACCACCTACTGGTAGAGCTCAGCTTTGGTCATAGAATAGGGGTGAAAGTGAACAGGACATAAAGACAAACACCTCCAGAGACAAACGTCTGGGCTAGACCTGTCCATTACATCTCTCACACAGTACAAACATCTGATTCCCAGCATAGAAGATCAGCTAACCTAGAGGTCCTGATGCCGATTTGGCCTCAGCAATTATTATGTGATCTGAGAGCAGTTCAAAAAGGCATTTAAACTAGGGTTAACTATTGTCGAAATGAACCCACTGACAGTATTGCTTCCAAAAGTTCATAGATCCGTTCCAGAGGCAAAAAACGATAGAGGAGAGAGAGAGAGAGAGAGAGAGAGAGAGAGAGAGAGAGAGAGAGAGAGAGAGAGAGAGAGGGAGAGG